GGGTGACGTTGGGCCTTCCTTGTGGAAGGCTATAGGTTATTCTGATGTCAGTCCTACACATAGGACAGCTATTCAAATATTGACCATGGTTAAATTAGTTCAATTTATTTCAGTGGGTCTACTCTGTGTATAACTTAGCTGGCTACAACCCAAAGGTTCTGGTGAAGAGGTGAGCAGTTTACTAGAAAGTAACTACACTGAATATTTAAACATGAATTACTTGCTTCTTTCCAGGAAAGAAAATCTTTATGGTTCCATCAAATTCTTGCTCATTTCAAAGGGCTTGGATCTTTCTGTTACTGGCTCAGATATTATAAAATGTTCCCTGCTTATTAAAGTTTTGTCACTGGCTCAGCTTCAGTTCTTTCTATGACCTGTTTTTGAAGGATTCTAGTCTGCTTAAGATGGCTTAACTTTCAATCATTTGTGTGTTATTTTTAAAAAGGGGAAATTCCAAGAACATATAAAATAAAGTTACCTTTTTTAATCAGTGTTGTTGCTGTATATCATTTCTACAAAACCCAACCCAGAACTCACATTCCCGATTCTTAGAGGCATAAAGTCAGGATCAAAATATTAAAATGAACATTTAATATTTTGATTGGCATCCTTCTTGTATACAGAATTCCCTTCACTGTAAGGCAAGTTTGTTTTTTTTCCACTTCTGTCCAACACCATTTGTAATTTACTGAGTTTTAAAATAGTTACTTTTTTAAAAAACACAATATTATGTAAAAAGAACAAAGATTCTTACAACACCTTCAAGACTAACAAATTTATTATAGCATAAGATTTTGTGGACTACAGTCCATCGGGGGCATGAAGTGTTATTAAGTGCATAACTTGCTGTACATGTGCCTGATGAACATATTTGTTAGCCTTTTCAATGCCAAAAAAATATTTGTACTTTTGTACTTTTGACTGCAAAAGTTCAGCACAGCTACCCTTCTGGAAAAGGCTACAATTGTGCATGTTATCATTTTGTTCTAATATGAATTTGTTTTGAACATGCAGGAATATATCAAATTAATGATGGGAGTGAGGAATGCTATACCCAATTTTTGCTTTATGGGGTGTGTGTGTGGGTGTGTGGGTGTGTGTTCAAAATGCACCTAAGAGGGGAGAAAAGGAGGAGGATGGAAGGATCTCTACTCTGACCATACCTGTATGTGCAGATTCCTGTTGCGGGACACTACTTGCGGAGGTGTGTGTATTCTGCCAGACTCTGTGAACTTTGGTCTGTACAGTCCATCAGTAATATCAGTAGTCCATTAGTTCATCATGTGCTTCCTCCATGAGAGGTCCAGAGGGTGACAATACAAGAACGAGCCTTTTCTGTAGCAGCTCCATTTGTGGAATGCTCTCCCCAAGGAGGCTCGTCTGGTGCCTTCATTATACACCTTTAGGCACCAGGTGAAAACATTCCTCTTCAACCAAGCCTTGGGCTGGTTCATATTTTGTGTCCTTTTAAATGTGTTTGTGGTGGTGGAGGGTGTTATTGTTTTGTTTTAACTATTTTTTGTGTTCTTTTATTCTGTATTTTTATCTTGTGAACCACCCTTCAAAGAAAAGGTGGTATATAAGTTTAATAAATAATAATAATTACCCAATCAGTGCTGAATCTGAAACCCCTGCTAGTCAACTGCTCAACATACTGATAGGGATACTTCGCTCCCTTGCATGGATTCTGGCCGTACACTGGACCAGACTGCCACACATGAAGAGGAGCTCTATACATGTACCTTAGTACCCACAGAAAGCCCATTCATATGCTGGCATGAGTAGGAGGGGTCTGGCTGCTAAGTGCAGTAAGGGTGGGGAAAGGGGCTGACCTGAGTAACCCCCCAGACCCTCCCTCCCCCCATGTTATTTCAGTGCTTCTGATCAAAGTTCAAAGATTGGGGTAGACTATGGGATGATGGGACGCTACAGTCCAAAGAGGGAACTGGCAGGAATCACCATCTTCGCATTAGCAGAGGAGTGGCCAAGGAGCCAAGCCAATTGCTTGTGTCCTGCTGCTATACAGAAGGGGGAAATGGAACTTAAGTAGGAATTTCGCTAATGTTCAGTGTTTCTTTTTATTGTTTCCAGGAAGTTATCACTACCATGGTGGTTTGCCTGCAGAAATGAAAAGAAGTCTATGTTGGCTGGATATTTTTATTTATTCCAAGAATAAACATATGATATGCAGGACCAGCGCCGTGATATATTTTGGGGAAATGTGTTTGAATAGTCAATTAAAGGATTATTCAAAGCTACTAATAGGATCATTTGTTGTATCAAATTGTTCCCCACTCTGTGAGTGCAAATTAACAGGACAACCCTGCCCATGTCTACTCAGATACAAGTCCCTTTTAAGTTCACTGGGACTTACTTCCAGGCCACTGCTATGGGATTGCAGTTTTAAGCTACTTTTTATTAGAATTTGCTTTTTAAGTGTGCCTTAAACTTATGGTTTATAGACTTTCAAATTTTGATTTAATAAGTGTATAATTTCGTATTTCATGTTTTACTTCACCTTGATTTGCATCCATGTGTGCATAAGTCTGAACTGACTTACACCCTGTTCAGAAAAGGACTGCAGCAAGATCATTTCTAAGGTTTAACTGCAAGAGAATTGTTGTGAGTTACAGGAAATTAAAAAATTCCTGCAATACCAGCCCACTACTCAAAGTCAATCTGTGGTATCCCACAATACACTGTGCTCTGAAGTCGAGCCAGAATGATTTTTGAAGAGTAATTTCAAGCCTTATAAAGGGTCACATCATGTATTAAAGCCATATTTGCTTCTGTGTTTTGTAAATTTCAAGCTCATTACTAAACCTTTGTCTCTTTTGCTTCATGTCTGGCTTTGAACTCTGCTTCATCAATCTGATCCTGAAAAGTCCAAAGAAAAACATTGTCACACATTTTCCATGTGAAAATGTGATAAAACATAAATAGTTACGATCCTGGGGAACAGACCTGTAAAGGTGACAGGGGAAAAAAATCAACTTTATTTTAACAATTGATTTTTATATATGTTCAACTCTCAGACAGGAAAGGGGGAGGCTGGAAAGCATTTCAGCCCCCCCTTTCTAGAATGTGCTGAGCACGGACTTAGCTGGAGATCAGGGGGTCTCAGCACCTTGCGTGATTAGGTCCTCTGGGACGAGAACAATGACTGGGTATTATTCTGGATCTCTTCTGTGTTCTGTACTCAGGTCAGTATCTGACTGAAGCAAGCACAGCACTGAGCTCCCTCTTTATGATAAAACCACATGCAATTTGGCATCAGCAAAATGTGTCCATATGCAAAATTAAATTGCAAATCTGGGAATAATTTCCATAGGAAGTGTTGGGAGAAAAAAGCAGGCTATCACATAATCCAAAATTCCCCCTCTGGATTTCGACTGATTGGTTAACTTTACCCCTATACCCCTGATGTATTTTTAGGTTCAGAATCTCCATAATATAATAGCCCAGGAAAGTGTGTGTGCTCTACGGTGCAGTAAATCCAATTCAGAGTAGGTGTAAATTTGCACAAAGCCTAGAGAGATGAACACACTCCTACCAAAAGCATGACTATTATTCTTCATATTCTACCATACATAAATTTCTGCCCCCTGTTCTCTAGTTCCTGTGCCTTTGCAATTTTTAACTTAAAGTGCTGGGCAAAAGCAAATGAGAACTGCAATGAATCGCACTCTGTGGGTGGGCAGGGGGGAAAGGTGACAGGGGGAACCACCTGGCAAAAGTGCCTGGCAGCAGCATGCCAAACAGTGGCAGACTGTGGCCAGCAGTCCAGAGGGTGGGTGGGCCCTGATCTGCCACCTGAGACAAAGGTCCCAATGTGGCCAATGGGAGGCCCCTCTGTGATTCAGGCTCCCATTTGTCACAACGAGACCTTAGTTGTCAGCACTGCACCTCATTCTTGCACACACAACGCACCACTCATTTCAGGCATTCCACAAACAACAACCGGGGGGGGGGGGAGAGAACACCTGAAATTCTGAGCCCACAATGAACAGACGCATAGATGTCCTTTTCACCTTTTTGCAAGAGAAACAACCATGCCATTTCCAAGGAAGGGACTATCCATTTTGCTTCATCAGCCTTACACAGGGACTGCCACCAATTAACCCAAGATAATTCAAATTCTGTGTCTAGCCACCATCCAACTCTTTCAATCCTGAAGCTCTTGGATAATTTGTTCTTCTCTTCACCCACAGACAGAAGGATTTTACAGCTCTTGTCTTCCCTCTAGGGTGATTGTCCAGCTTGTGGCACATTTGCAGAAAGTTTTGTTCTAACTGTCCTATGTTATACTGTCTTACTGTCTTTAGTTTGTCTGTAATTCATCCCACCAATACAGTGGTACCTCGGGTTAAGAACTTAATTCGTTCTGGAGGTCCGTTCTTAACTTGAAACTGTTCTTAACCTGAGGTACCACTTTAGCCAATGGGGCCTCCCGCTGCCGTCACGTGATTTCTGTTCTCATCCTGAAGCAAAGTTCTAAACCCAAGGTACTATTTCTGGGTTAGCGGAGTCTGTAACCTGAAGCATCTGTAACCCAAAGTACCACTGTACTATAGATGTGTGGGAACTGCTGTCGTTAGTGTGTTGGACCTGAGAGACCGGGATTCAAATTCCCACTCAGCCATGAAGCTCAATGAGTTACCATGGCCAGTCACTGTCTTTCAGCCTAAGCTACTTTGCAGGGATTAATGAGGAGCAGAAGAATCAAGTACACCACCTTGAGCTCATTGGACAAAAAGGTGGAACGCAATGCAATAAAATAAATGGATTCATTCCTGGTTACTCAATATTTGTGATGTCTGGGTTAGTCAGAGAGAGTGGGGAGAGAGAGAGAGATTATCCTCTTACTATTCCTGTTACTATTTCTATGATTGAGGCAGCATCTTCAGATATTAAATTGCAATGGGAATAGACCCTTAGTTCTTTTCAACCTGAGATCCCTGGGCCTGATTCAACTAACTTTTTCTGCTTTTTTTTTTTTTGTAGTGTTTTAATATTCTACTATTGGCTGGGCTTGATGAATCCCAAGCCGGAATTAAGATTGCCGGAAGAAATATCAACAACCTCAGATATGCAGATGACACAACTTTGATGGCAGAAAGTGAGGAGGAATTAAAGAACCTCTTAATGAGGGTGAAAGAGGTGAGCGCAAAATATGGTCTGAAGCTCAACATCAAAAAAAACGAAGATCATGGCCACTGGGCCCATCACCTCCTGGCAAATAGAAGGGGAAGAAATGGAGGCAGTGAGAGATTTTACTTTCTTGGGCTCCATGATCACTGCAGATGGTGACAGCAGTCACGAAATTAAAAGACACCTGCTCCTTGGGAGAAAGGCGATGGCAAACCTAGACAGCATCTTAAAAAGCAGAGACATCACCTTACCAACAAAGGTCCATATAGTTAAAGCCATGGTTTTCCCAGTAGTGATGTATAGAAGTGAGAGCTGGACCATAAAGAAGGCTGATCGCTGAAGAATTGATGCTTTTGAATTATGGTGCTGGAGGAGACTCTTGAGAGTCCCAAGGACTGCAAGAAGATCAAACGTATCCATTCTTAAGGAAATCAGCCCTGAGTGCTCACTGGAAGGACAGATCATGAAGCTGAGGCTCCAATACTTTGGCCACCTCATGAGAAGAGAAGACTTCCTGGAAAAGACCCTGATGTTGGGAAAGATTGAGGGCACAAGAAGAAGGGGACAACAGAGGACAAGATGGTTGGACAGCGTTCTCAAAGCTACAAACAGGAGTCTGACCAAACTGCGGGAGGCAGTGAAAGATAGGAGTGCCTGGCGTGCTCTGGTCCATGGGGTCACGAAGAGTCGGACACGACTAAACGACTAAACAACAACAATATTCTACTATATGATATGAATTATTTTGTTTTACTTTGTTTGCAAGTAGAAGTTAAGCAGAGATAAAGTGTGAATGACTGGGAAATGAGAAATATTAATTTGCTATACATTTTATACTTTCAACTATTGAAAGTACGGTTCAGTGTGCAGGTGTCATTAAGTCATTTCTGCAGATCTCCATTCACTGAATTAAACAGTTAACAAGAACTCTGCTGATGTGAAAGTCTTCCATGTGGTTATTATAAACTAATGCTGGAAAATATCAGTTAAACTGGAAAACACATGTATGAGGCTGGGTTTGAGGTAATGTGCAACAGAGCCAAAAAATAAAAAAATGGAAAGCAATAACAAGGCCTAAAGTTCCATGTGGCTAATTTTGAGGAAGTATTCATCTTAAAAGCACAAAACTGGTTTTTCAAACAATCCCACGAATTATCATAGACAGACAGTTCAGTATAATTTGAATAACCAGCCCCTGAACTAGGAACTTCAGTGCTATTGCAAAACTAAGCTTGCAGCTTTGGGAAGATGAATAATGGCCGTTCATCCTGGTGTTTTAAGGGGAGTTACTATATATTCCCAATAAGGTCATTACTGCAATGTTCTGAAGCAGGCTTCCTCAACCTCGGCCCTCCAGATGTTTTTGGCCTACGACTCCTATGATCCCTAGCTAGCAGAACCAGTGGTCAGGGATGATGGGAATTGTAGTCTCAAAACATCTGGAGGGCTGAGGTTGAGGAAGCCTGTTCTAAAGGCTGTGTGAAATTGTGTGGCCATACATCTTCTGTAGGAGGCCTCAGAACAAGAGGCTCAACCAGGCCTTCTAGCCATCTCTGTTTGATACCATGCAACTCTCTTGTGATTTATACAAATTTGACTGTATTTTTTATTGTTATTCTGGCTCATACCCCCAGATTTGTGGGCTCTGTCAATACATGGTTTCTAAAAGCACACCTGTACAACAGCTGTGTAGCACAAAACTGGGGGCACAGAAAGCCAGCAGTGGCAACAGGCAGGAAGCAGAAAGTGGTTACACCCACAAGGAGCTAGTGAGTGGACTTGGAGGCTGAAAGGCTCAGTGCACAGGCCATGGGGAACAGCCGGGGCAGACCACCCATTGTGGAGGCCAGGGCAGGGACCCTGAACTTTGACCCTGAGGTTCTTGGCTAGAAGAACTACAACCTCTTCATAACCGAGCAAAAGAGGATGAATGAGAAACAAAGCCTGTAGTGTAAGGACGGATAAATGAGTATATTGGTATTAACATCCCTGGATTTTTGGGAAATGAACACACTACAGCTTAACCGCTGCTTCCATGTTTTAATTGGATGGAAATTGGTTTGAGGGGAAGCACATCAAAAATGAGCATTTCTCAAGAAGTTACAGGACACATATGGATTGCGGGTGATGTGTTCTCAGCTTCAAACAAACAGCATTGGGAGTGCAGTGAACCCAGAGTAAACAGTAATGTATACACAGCCTAAGGCTTGCTGAGGTCCGAAGTGTTGTCAAGTTTAAGAGGTCCCGTAGCATTACCAAAAAAAGTGCATTATTCTAACAGAAAAGGCAACAGCGATAGAAAGAATAAACTTTTATATTTGCATATAAACTGGCACATAGGCAAGGATGTAGCTTATTCAGCTTGAGCGTAAATTGATTTCAGTCAGCACAGAACATATGTATATCATCATGTAGAACTTCTGCCCCACCATCTTTGCTAACTTACTTGCGGCATTGCTTGTTTAGCAATGTGACTCCTAGCAATCTAAGAGCAGATCTATTTAATGCTGCTATTGAATCTGGCCACTGGTGATTTTGCTGCTGTTGTAACAGTTGAGGTAGTCTGGGTAATTCATTAAACAGCTCCTGGAAAGGATTCAAGTATCTTTCTATTAAACTAATGAAAATCACTAGTCTGATATCAAAAGAGTTGCAATTATGAAAACCACCCTCATGGCAGAGGCCCATCTTCTTTCATTTGGCCCTGGTACAATTACAATACATGCATACTTCTTAAATAAGATACAGTTTAGGGCTTATGGATGAATGTTTTGGGTTAAAAGGGAATGCTGGTGATACTTTAAGAAAGTTCCAGATGCAAACTGATACTTACATATCCAACTACCAGCCTTTTAAAGCAGTTTGACATCCCTACCAACCTCACCACTAACAGAATTAATTTCTGACAAAATGGTGACAATGGCTAAGTAGAAGTGGTAAAGGGGATAGAAAGAATCTAGCCAAAGTTGTCAAAAGTCTTTAAAGCAATTTCATCGCCTTAAACTTAATGGGGCTGAAAGATAAGTGGTATGGTGTCGTTTTGCAATCCTATGCTATGTGGAGAACTTGATAATCCATCAAAGATGTCTTTGCTTTTCTGCTTGATTTTAAACAGTCATCAGTGGTAACTTTAAACGGTAGATGCATTATAATGATAGTTGCAAATTATTTCAAGAAAATATGAGTTTACACCCCAAAATCTGGATCTGTACTTCCCTGAAGCTGCAGGATTTTAAAGGATATATATCTAAATCTGGTTTCTTAAAGGAGTACACCATCTTAAAAGGAACAGAACCAAATTCCCAAATCTAGCAGTCCATAAATGAAAATGAAGACACTAGGGATAGCTTCTAGTTTTAATTTGAGATGATGCCATGTTAAAATGTCCTGGCACAATGTCAAAAGTAGAGGAGTTAGGGTGCCGTTTAACACTTTCTAACCCACTACTTTTCTTTCATGACTTCGTCCCCCAAGTTATTTTTCCCTGTGAGATTCTTTGGTCATATTTATTTCTAAAAACATGTGCCTGGAACTCAAGGGAGACAAGCGGCTTGTTCTCTCCCTCCCCACCCCCATATATAAATGTAAGAATGTAGTGTTGTCATGCTGCAATTCACCTGGAAACAGACAGGTGATCCTGCCAACTACATCATGACAAGAAGTGGTGAATAGGCAATCCAGGAGAGCTGTTGCCAGGCTGCAGTAAAAAAAAAACCCTCCTCCGACCCAGTTTGGTTGGCTCCTCAACCTGCCAGTCCTGGGTCCCCCGTCTCCAAGACCTAGATCTCAAGACTGCCTAGTAGTGCCTCTACTGGCCACCTAAGGGATATGCTGCTTCTGGGCCACTCTGTCAGTCTGAAGAGTCAGGTGCAGGAGTGTGGGAACAAGAAAGGCAGTCAGAGGCACCAGCCCCAGCCAACATAACCAATGATCAGAGATGAGGGGAACTATCGTCAAAACATATGGGAGGCACCAGTTTAGAAAGCGTGTTCTAAAATCTTTCACCAGTGATGGAGAACTGGACGCCCAGGAGCCATAGCCAGCTCCCAAAGGCTCTCCAGATGTCTCATCCATTCCTGATCTCAAGGACCATCACTCCACCTCTGCACACATAGAGCATTTTGAAACTTGGTCCCTTTCATGCTAGTGAAGACACAGGGAGGGGGTTCTGTAGCTCCATCTCCTCCAGTGTGGAAGCAGCAGAAGCTTTGTGAGAGTTCTCCTCTTGTCTCCATTGCCTGTGCCTGAGCATATGTGGGCACAAGCTGACTCTTCAGTTGGAAATCTGGTACCTCTTAGAAATTAGATGCTGACCCATGTCCTATGGAATTCTTCCTCCGCCCCTCAACTTCATTGTTATTCAGAAGGCAAACTGTGTTTGTACAAAGACATTTATTATTTTAAAGATCATTCCCAATGTGGAAACGTTAATATGAATATTTGTGGTTAATTCTCCAGGCGGAATATCCCCAAATAATATCTTTAAAGTAAACTAGATTCTTGGAGCATTTCCTTAGATTGGAACTGGGCATGATGTCACATGCATGGCCAATACCAAAGGCGTCACTCCTGCATCTCCTTCATTTCATCCTGCTGTTATGTCTAGTCAACACGAAGCACATGACATGGCATCATTGTGCTAGAAGCGCACCAACGGAGCTGCTTTGCATCCTTTTCTGGCACCTGGGGCACGCATGCATGTGTGCACATGCCAGGAGGGGTTGTGGTGTGGGAGGTCAACAGAACCCACCAGGCTAGGCCAGGCCTCACTGTTGGGCATGCACACACAGGGCACAAAACATTTACAGAGCCCGCGCACCAGCTTAGTCCTGGCCACCTATGCGTGGTGGGGTCCAGTCAACAAACACGGCGCTTGGCCAGAACTCCCCACCCTGATGCTGGCCAGGTGACTATTCAGTAAGGGAGCAGGGCTCTGAGAGACATCCCCCCCCCCCGAGGTAGGCAGGGTGGGACAGGGATCCTTGCATGTGGTCACCTGGCTTGCACCCCTGAAAAATCATGCACACAGGACTATGGGCCCCCTGCCCCCCACACACATTATGCCCCTGCGCCAATGCCCTTGCATGCAGCAGCCGATCAAAGAAAGAAGAGATACACAAACTTGGAAAGGGATGGTGTCGCAAACACTGCCCCTTTTGATATGATTAGACAATGCTGGGAAAAGAGGAGGAGGAGGACAGGAGCTGAGTCATTTTCAGGCAGTGGCAGCTGTACATCTGTCACAATGGTTAGTGTCAGTCTTACTATCTCTAAAGAATGATCCCCAAAACACCTTTTCAAGTCAACTCAGAAAAACTCAGAAAAAGATTCATGCAACTCTTTGCTTCCCAGTTGCTTTCAACAAGCAAGGTGTATCCAGACTGCCAAAAGCCCAGTAACATCAACACAGAGAACTTCCGAAATTGACAGGATGACTTAGCACAAAACAGCTGATTCATTCATGCATGCATATTACTGGGCAAATGTTCATAATCCATGGATAATGAAAACATGGAAGAAGAACGGGGGTTGTGCCCCCTGTTCCCACAAGGTATGGAATTTTCTGAAAATGTATGTTGACCTTATCTGCATAGATATTTCCTGTCTCACTCATTAATCTCAATTTCCTGCCACCCTCTGGTTTCACTACAAATATCAAGAATCCTTGCATACTATAAACATTATTATACATATATTATATGGATATATGCTCTTGGTTTCCTGAAGTAACCAGTACATCAGCAGATAAATATGACAATGCATATATATGAATAAAAGTTTTTGGTAATAAAAATATGGTGCAGAAATATAGTGTATTATGGGTTTAACTCTTTTCTACATTCTTGCATATGTTTTTGCAAATAATTAGTATACCTGGGGGAAGGTCTGGAAGAACAGGAGAAGTGTTCATCTTCAGGCCAGAGTGTTGGCCCTTAAGAAACTTGTTTACCAAGAAAAACCTGGAGCCAAGGAAAGGTGGGCTGAAGGCAGATGCTCAAAGGACTTTGTAGACTTCAAATGCTTGTCAGAACAAGTTGTTCCCTCTTCATGGTGCTATGACAGCTGATCTGACTTGCTATGTGGGGTTCTTCCTGGGATCGAAGCAGAACACCCACAGATAATTTAAACCAGCTTAGACCTACAGGAGTTAGCCTTGCTTTATTAGGCTTGGTGATCCCTGCCTATACAGCACATAGAGCTTCATTTAGTGTTAGAAGAGCAAGGGTGTGTTTAAAAACTTATCCAGTCACCTCACCTGTTGCTCCAGAGCACATTGAGGGAAGATAAAATGCAAGTCATTGTTACCTTTGATCTGATGCTTTGAGGTATGTTCATTATACAGAACATCAACTTCTCTTGATTAAAAGTAGATGAGACTAATTCCTGGCCTGTATATGAGACTAGCAATTAATGTTTTGGAACTAGTTACGGACTTAACTAATGATGCCTTTTATCTCTGAGGATGTGTTTAAGATTTTAGTGCCATTAGTCAAAGAGATGTAAAAACAGCCTTTGAACAAAACCGAATTAATGCAAAGCTCTGGCACATTAGCATTTTGCTTGGAGTCCCAAACCTAAGAACAGGTGTTTGAACTCCTGGGTTAAACTCTGCAGCCTAGTCCAGTCAGACAAGTTTAGCTGCAGTGGCGCCAGCGGTGCTGCCTTTCGGGTGGCAAGAGAGCCAGACCTGACAGGATCTCTTCACACACTACAACAACCCTCTCTGGGTACACAACATTTCTGCATGTGTCCCCATGTAAGACATCATGGTGAAATACTGGGGCAAGGCACAGCAACGGTGGTTTTTGCCACTTGGCAAGGCACAGCAATATTGGCTTTTGCCAATGGCACTGCACCAAGAATTGGGTCATATTGCACCAACGATAAGGTGGTCACATGGCCTGTTTTACAGAGAACTGTCCTCTGTTTGAAGGCTGTCCAGAAGGGACAGCAGGTGAGTGAGGAGCGGGGCTTTTAGTTAATCAGTTCATTACATTTACATCCCACTCGTTATATCCCACTCCTCCCGGAGGAGCCCAGAGGAGCAAATAACAAGCAACAAAACAATTAAAAGTATATTATAAATAATTCCAACACTGGGAAGTAATAAACCTTTTAAGATCTCTACATAAAAGGTTTATTGGAAGCCAAAACAACCACCAAAAGGACAACCAAGATGTCGCCTGTCTAATATTCAAGGAGAGGGAATTCCAAAGGGTAGGTCCCACAATACTAAAGGCCCAATTCCTATATTGTACAGAATGGACCTCCTGATAAGATGGTCTGTGGGGGAGGCCCATGCCTTCAGAGTGCAGGGATTGGTTGAGAATATAAAGGGTGAGATGATCTTTCATGTATCTTTGTCGCAAGCTGTATAGCTCTTTACACACCCAAACTATCACCTTGAACTTAGCCCAGTACTAATTGGCAGGCAGCACCCATCAACACCTAGGACCTAGACCACAGACTGAGCAGGCACACTGTTGACCTGATCACAGTCTTTCCCACTAGGGTGAGGTGTATTGTATGTCCATTTACAGTCACTTTCTTTTTTCTATATAAAATAGTGTGTACATATACATTAACATATACAACTTTTATAAAGATCAGTGTCCTCTTTTGAGCTCTCTGTCTCTTTGGAGGACCCTGTAACCAAAACAAATGGACTCAGACATTTAAACACACATGCTTTAAAAAATGAAGCTACTAATGGCACTTCCTGAGAAGGAATTCTAATGTCCCAGATGTGCTAAGCTGCACACCAGTGGATACTGGGATGTTCGCCATCATGCATAGCTCTGCCTCTGGTATGAAAGCTATGGCCTGAATTAAGAAATTGTGAATTCCTCCTCCTTTAACATCGCAAAAATAATGCCGCTGGTTTTTTAAAGAAGAAATGTATATCGGTCTAACACATGGGCACACAGCTGCAAAGGAAAACCTAAATCCAGAGCTTTGCATATTCTGCATAGGCATCACTCAGCATGGAATCTGGAATGTGCTGCAGAATTTGGCTTTCTCAGAATCTCAGCTTTCGTTTTCAAATAATCAGGCATCTTGTTCTTCAGCGCTATGACACAAGGCTGCTGTGCCTTAAACGGCCTCCTTCTCTGCACACACATCCTCCGTTTAATCCCCGTGCCCCTGCTCCTCCTGCCCTTGATGACCTTCTTCACTCCTTGTGCTCTACTCAAGTCCTCTCTAAACTATTGAACATTCTGGGAGAATCCAACCCTTACTAAACATTATGCAGCTATGCTGGGAGCCAGCCCAGCAATGCGCTGGGAAATCTGGGCTTTCTTGAAGTAGTCATGCTAGGAGCTTTACAATAATTAAAATAGACTGCATGTTTGCAGTCTAGATTAGATGTGTTGCAGAAGAAGAGAAAGTAAAGTAAAATTATCAGGTGTTCCCCCAGTTAGACGTACTTGTACTAGCAG